AGGTCATGATGCATTAGATCTCATTGAACATGGTGCATCCATTATACAGGTATTATTATTATTATCATATTATTATTACCACTTATCATTATTAGGTGTATTCAGCATTCATATTTCAAGGACCACAGACTGCTAGAAGGCTTAAGGATCAATTATCTGATTTATTATTAAAGAAAGGATATTATAATATAGAAGAGGCAATTGGTGCCAAATTTAAGAAGAATAATAAGAGAATGAAGGAATTCCATCGTAAACGTATACCATTTATAACATAACACATGTTAGTGTTGTTTCTGATAATGCTTGAAGTGTTAAGACACATATTATCATGCTCATCATCATGATCATCATCATGATGATTATACTAATCACAACACAATACATAAGAACATCATCAGTTACATACAATATCACGCAATAACTGTAAATACTATCCTCAGTTAACCATAGAATATGTCGGTATTACTACATGATACTCCTAAAATCCATCATCCTTCTTGTAAATAGTCGTCATGAATATAGATATCCAATATTATTGTTGTATTTAATGTGTTAACCAAATTATGATTATATCATAATGCATCCAATAAGTACCTCCATTATGACACTAATCATCATTAATACACTCTTCCCTCCTCCACCTCCTCCTCTTCTTTGGGATATATAGTACAACAATCACCATATTGGTGAACACCCCATAGAATTCATCTTGCATATTATAATACTACACGTTGGTAATAGTATCCTACACTTGTATATGTCTGCTCACTAGTGATTAGTCTTCTATACCCTCCTCATAATGAAAGGATACAATAAGAACATTGCAACGTGATAAAGGGTGACAGCATCGTGTAGTACGAATATCTTTGATGAATGTCCCAAGATGATCTTCATATTCATAATCATCACGATCATGTCCCTGATGATTATCCTAGTACTACCACTACTTTTACCCAGTACACGTCTTCATTGTGATAGTATTTCCTCTTTATTATTAACATCAGTTTCATCCAAGTGGAAATGTACTAAAGCTGAGTACTACCTCACATTGATGACTCTTTCTTCTCTACTACTACTACTACTATTGT